TGTAGGCGAGCCCTGAGTCACACTCTTACCTAACATAAATCTTTATTCCTACTTAGTATTCCTGTTTTGCCCAGGTGGCACATGGTGGGTGGGCAATCAGTGCGTGCCTGCCACAAAAATAAGATCCGGAGACAGTGATTCACATGCTATTTATTTCTCAGAGGGAAAGTCACAGAGTTCGGGTCTTTGGTCTGGCTTTTGGGGTGAAACGTGCATAACAGTGAGAGGGCTCTGGAAAAAAAATCCTTAGAAAATCAAAGGCCTTTCTTGGGAATTGGTTTAAAAGGCTAAGCCTAGCTGGTAACAACCTGGGTTTGCCACCTGAAATCCCTCCTTTACAGAGTCACTACAGTATTTTGTTTTCTGGGTTTTAAGGGGGTAGAAGGAGAGTTGGGCATTAAGCAGATTCACATTAATATACTTTGTAACTTACCAAAGGATTTTCACCTGGAAGGGCTGCTGGATATAGCAGAAAGAGGATACAGTGTGCCTGAACATAAATACATAAGTAGCTGAGAGAGCTTGGATGTGGTGTTTGAATTCTCTGAAACTCCACTTTCTTTACTACAAAATCAGCAACAACAGCATAAATTTTTAAGCTGTTATAAGACTTGACACTATGTACTTGGTTCAAGGAAGGCATTCAGTAAATATAATCCCTTTTATTAGTAAACGGATATCAAGTAGCCTTTGGTCTCTAAAAAGTGGGGGGGTGGGGTTGAGGGGAGAAGGCAGGCAGAAAGATTACATACTGAATACACAATATTCATTTGAAAATGAGACACAGAATGAACTAGAATAACACTTACCACTGCACTCTCAGACTAGTTCTCTTAGTATTAATAGGCTCTGAGTCAGGAATTGGATACTCCTGACTCCTGTGGCTTTGGGCAAGTTGCTTAACTTTTGTGCCTCTGTTTACTTACATATAAAATGGGGATAATGATACTTCCTACATTGTGAGAGTGTTGTGAAGGTATCTGAGATCCTTGGATAAAAGGTAGTATATGAGTACCAGAGTAGTTATTATTAGTCTATAAAGTGCCCTAGGAACCATGGATGAAAGAGATTATTGAGGTACAAAGCACTGTGTATTATTATTGTTATCATTTATTATACCTTTTGTCTTTACCTTACCATTCTCACTTCCAAAGATGTATTTTACAGCCAGACTGCTTCCAGCCTTGCATCAAGATATTTAGCTGAGTCAGTCCTAAATTGCAAAATGTTTGCATATCATCAATCTTTATGTTTAGTATTCTGATGAAATAATCCTCAAAGACTCAGAGCTTGGTTTCTCAACCATGGCACTATTGACATTTAAGAATAGATAATTCTTTAGTGTTTGTCCTGTCCATTGTAGGATGTTTAGCAGCATTCTTGGCTTGCATCCACTAGATACCAATAGTTGGCCCTCACCCCCAGTTGTGACTTTGCCAAATGTTCCCTGCAGGGAAAAATCTTCCCCAGTTGAGAATTTCTGAGCTGGCTCTAAAACAACTAATTTTGGTGATACACTTGCCCTTAAATAATAAAGGGAAATATGATAATACTAACAAATAAAAAAAATCATATTAATAGGTCAGAATGAAACTTACTCTAAATGTTAAGTCTTACTTAATGTTTTTCAGAGAGTGGATTAGCTATGGTGTGAAATAGCCTTTTTCTATGTGTTGAAATAATTAATAGAATATTGAGCCGTTATGCCTTCAAAGCAAATATTTCTGGAACATATGCAATTCATCCTCTAAAATCAAAATATTACATGTACATAGTCTTTAAATGTAAATACTTTAGTTCTGTAAGAATTATAACAAAAGGCAGCAATCCCCTACTTAGCCTTCCCACTACCAAAATCCTACCCAAAATTTTGAATTCTTATATCTCTTTCTGCTAATATGAATCTTCATATTTATTTTTAATGTGTTTATTTTGAGAGAGAGAGAGAGAGAGAGAGAGAGAGAGAGAGAGAGTGTGTGTGTGTGTGTGTGTGTGTATGGGGGGGGGGGGG